TAAATATCAACATGATCAAGTCTAGTGTAGGATTTCTTTCAATACAATTAATCATGAACTTTGTTTGTTTGTTTTTTTTTTATTTAAAAGTAATAATTATTTGAAGAGGGAGGGATTTATCATGATCATTTGAACAGGTTCTTTAAAAATCTACTTTCGCTGCCTGTCGATGGCATCATGTAATTCTTGATTTCATTTGAACACCCATCATCTTGATATCATCTCGCAGTTTCATTTGGCTTATATATCGGAAACTTTATGATACTATTTTAATATGATAATTCACTCAGATTTTCACATCGTTTGATCTTATTTTATCGAATCTCTCTCTTGGTTTATGTATAAGGTGTATCCTTGTATACTCATTGCTGATGTACATGATTTTTCATGTAATTACCCATGCTAAGTTTGCTTCAAAATCTGTTAAATAAGTGCAGGAGGTTATAGTATTGATTTAAAGGCTAATTTTCAATAACTCGATTTATTTTTAGTGGAATTCTCGCTCTGGGGTGGTAAAACCTGAATGTTTAATCAGGCTGGGATGAAATGGACAAGCGTAATTTTAATCATTGCCTACCTTATTTATAATTATTAGTGTATCAATTAACTTTATTTTCAAAGAAAAGTCTACTGCCCTATTTCTTTCAAACTAGTTTGCCAAATATGTTATAGTATAGTATTGCCACACGCAATACACGTGCAACCCCAACCACACACAAAGTCATCCCCTTCACACATGCACCTGCACCCTCTAGGACTGTCAGTTTGAAAGGTGTGCTTGGAAGATGAAATTCTGTGTGAAATTTCCTTCCCTTACCCCCCCCCCCCTCCAAAAAGGAGCTCCTTCAATGCATGATATACATTCCATCTTAAATGTAAAAAAAAACATAACAAAAAATAAAATTAAAATAAAAACAAAAAAAAACAAAGACGATTTATCGTTGCTCCCCCCCCCCCCCGCGTTGAAATTATGTTTTCGATTCACGTCAACTGAAAGATGACTGACTGAATGGCATTTTCAGACTTTTCGGTGACCATATTCATTTCAGTGTATACAGACATTGATTTCGCCTTGTATGATCTAAATAAAAACGCTCACTAGCGTTTTAAAGTATCACTGCCAGTTTGATTAAAACCCCCCCCCCCTTCTCCGCGCTGAAATTATTTTTCGGTTCACCTTAACTGGAAGATGACTGATTGAATGGCATTTTCAGTCTTTTCGGTGACCATATTCAGTTCAGTGTATACTGCTCATTGATTTCGCTTTGTATGATCTAAATAACAATGCTCACTATAGCGTTTTTAAGTATCACTGCCAGTCTCATTAAAACCATGAAGCCCACTTCTTCTCCTTTCACTGGATAAGGGGCTGATTTTAATCGTTCTCTATCCCTGCCCAATCAAAAAACATCTGACATTATTTTGCTTTTTAAAAACATTATTTATTGATTTATTTTTGAATTTCAAAACAAGAAAAGATATATTGCTTTGTATACATGTATAAAATAATGAAATTTATCACCCTATTATAATAAGATAATGGAGTTTCACCCAAAATAACATTGCATGTGTTAAACCCAACTCTTTTAGAAGGTTTTGTAAATATGCTAAGATTACTCCATAGTGAAGAAATTTTTGTACAATTCAAAAGTATATGTTGTATTGTTTCTATATCCTGTTTACAAAAGGTACAGTGATCATCATGCAGATAAAATACTTTATTTTCTTTAAATAACATTTCACTGGAAGGATTCTATGAACGATTCTATACTGTAACCATTGAGCAGAAGTATCCATAGTTGTTCTAAAACATACCTGAAAAACATCTTGAACACAAATATCAGATTCTAAAAAAAAACCTGATAGTTCCTTGTTCCATCTAATTGATGTAGGAATGACATTGTTAATACTATTCAAATATCTATAAATTATTTTAGTGCACTTTTCATATACAATGATATTCTCAAAATAAAAAGGAATAAAAGGGCTACATTCCCCCCTTAACAGATTATTTATCTATAGATATTGTTTTTAAAAACCTGGTAATAGCACAGATAATACTGTTGTATTGCATAATGCAAACACTAGACAAATGAAATCTATTTTCAAAATCAGTGACATTTTAAAAAATTTCCTTCATTGTTTAAGAAATCACAAACACTTTTAACACCACTTTTAAACCAGGTATTTACAAAAAAATATTTGTTTCCTTTTTTTTATATTGGCATTGTACCACACAGTTATAAGTTCAGATATACTTAGTTTTCAATTGTTGTTGAGTGTTTTCATGAAACATAATCATGAATTAAACACATCTGTCCAAAAATTGTTGTTAATTTTTTACAATAAAGCAAGACACAAACTCTTCACCAAAATCAAAAACTTTATGCAATATGTATGGCACGCCAAATTCACAAAAATGAGATAAACCTAGTTTCACATTTGATAAACTAGGTTTATCGACTGTAAACTATAGTTTACAAACCGTAAACTATAGTTAACGATTCGTTAAGTATAGTTTTTGTAAAACTATATTTAACGGTTGTTAACTATAGGATGATAATCTAAGTTTATCTGTCTGTAATAAGCGTTAACAATAGATTTTGTTGATAAACATAGATTCACATTTGTAAACAGTTTTTTATAGTTAAGAGTTGTTAATCATAGTTTCACGATTTCGTGAAACTATATTTATCAGATCGTTAACTATCGTTAATAATCGTAAAACTGTATTTATCAGATAATCTATGTTTTGCAATCGCAAATGATAGTTTTCGGTGTTAAGTATAGTTTACGGTTGTGAAACAATTATCGCGTTAACTATAGTTTACAGATGTAAAATATAGATTTTGTTAACTATAGTTTACAGTCCGTAACCTGAATTTAACAAGCGATAAACCTCTTTTATCGACAGTGAAACTGTTTTGCTCATTTTTGTGAATTTGGCGTGCCATAAATATGTCTTTACCATTTATTGCCAAAAATTATCTAACCATGGGTGATTGCTTTTTGTTAATCTTTTAATCCAGGAGCACTTGAGAGTCTGAGATGCAATAAAGTTATCTATATCCAACATTTTTATTTTTTTATTATTTAAATTCTGCATTTTAGATCATCGTCCTCCTATATGATTATAATTTTCTTTCACAGGCTAATAAAAAATATTTTTGTCTTTTCCTTCTTTGAAAGAAAATTCGGTCACGAATAATGTACCCCGTATTTTCATTCTAACAGACTTGTATCCGTTATGCCTAGTTTGTTTACAATATAAGTAGATTTATTCAAAATATTAATTTCATTTATCAAACCGTAGCTATTCGGAATTAAACTCTCCGTTACATATTCTGACCTTAGAATCTACTTTCGGTTTATCAATTTGGCGCCAGGTACAAAACAAACAAACTTGTAATGGCACATTTTCTTGTAGTTTTTAATCATTTATCGCATTTCGAAGTAGATTAGAAAACTTTAACTATAAACAAGCGACTGTTTATGAGGTAAGCTCTTGTTAATTATAGAAAATTTTCTTGTTAATTAGTTAGAATAATCTTACTGTCGGGACAAGCCCTCATCACAGAGTTACATCAACACATATATATGTAAATTGAGTCCATAGGACATTCATCATTTTATCGATAGAACCTTTTATCTATATATTGTTTTAGAGAAGAGTACATTATTTTACTTTCATTGGATGGATGAAGGCTGAAGGCATTTTAATTTCTAAAGAAAGCAAGTGACCCATATAGTCAAAATAATCTTTTAATAACTGTCTCGGGACAAGCCCTTTCCACAGTTTTGGTCCGTTTTAAATGATTGCAATGAAATAGTCTAAAAAATAACTTTTTTGTAACTATTAAAGAATAATTGATTTTGAAACCATATATAGATATATAGCCTATTTTCTTTTTTCAGTTTTGTTCAAGACAAGGTGTTACATTCCGATGGATAAAGTGTCAGCACCTACATGTAAAAGAAGATTCTTTTTTTGACATCAAAGATGATTAAAGAGATATATTTTGTTTTGTTATGTTGTTTTTTTCTTTAGTCAGTATTTTTTAATTGCCCCCTTTCAAGTCACATGTCAAATTAAAACTTAATGCCAGCAGAGATATGTATGGTTTTTATATATCTCTTATGCCAGGGTTGGTGATCCAGAACCAGATTTAATATTAATTCAATCAAATTTAATGATGTAAATGTTACAAACTTAACTGAGGACTTAAGATATTGAAGGTAATACCAAAAGAATATAATGAGTAATTGAGACTCAGTGTGCGAAATTAACGGTGGACCGGTAGACAATGTCAGAAAATCTAGTCCTATACATGTATTAATAGACCGACTTGTCTATAGGAATTCTTTAAATATGGTTCCCAGCTTGTCTCTAATAAACAAACCACAAAAAGGAAGACCAGTTTAAATAAAACCCTGTATTACAGATGTATTCCGTCACCCCTTAGTTATAATAATTTGTTCCACGATGTATGCAGTGTTGAATATTTTATTTTTAACATGAGGGGAGGTTAGTTTTTTTAATCGGACACCAAAACAGTGCAGAAGAAACATGTCAACCGTTTAAAGTAAACGGGAATTATTATTACTCTTGTCTATCAGACAGAGATCTCAATGTTTGAGTCGTTTATCAATGCTGTTGTTTTATATATCGTGTTTTTTGATTCTTGTTGTAATCTTTTATCCACTACAAAAACTACTGGAAAGTGTAATTATTTCACCATTTTACATCAAATACGTTTATTTAATTTCAATATTTTAGCATTAAATGTTACTAAAACTCCATGAAGTTGCTGCGGTCTATAGAAAATGAAATGTAATACCAAAAGACTATAAGTTAGTTTCGCACATTGAGACTTGCAAATCACTTGGTCATAATCCTTGTATTTGAGAAATTATCAAAAACTGCACAAATAAGTTTTGATATTTTATAGTGTATCTACAATTTGTTTTAAATATAATTTAAAATTTGTCTATCTTTACAGCAAATGGTGAAGGGTATGAAAGAACATTATAAACAGAAAGAAGAAGGATTGACTCAGATCAAACTTCAGGTGGAAATAGTTTGGTCAACCATTCAGAAAAGGTTTGTACATAGACATATTGTTACAAAAATACTGTTTACATTGAATCAGGTTATTTTTGCCCTTTGATGCTTGCAAACAGTTTGGCCCCATTTTAAAATTTCAATTGGTCACAGTTTTGTTTGTTTAAGAAAATTTACTTTTTTCTGTGAAATAATTTGCCCTGCTTTTAAATTTGCCCACCTGTGAGTAGGGCAAAATGGGCAAAAATAAAAAAATAGGGGGGGGAGTGTCAAATTTCCCTGTGTACAGTGACTTTAATACAACATAAATGCTATATCTGCATGCAAACTTATCTGATGGATTATGAAATGTTTTTTTGTTTAACATTTCTCTGAGTAGATTTCACCACCTGTCTACAAGAGAGAAGGAGAATTTTGCCGCTGTCTTCATGACTCCGGAGGAGAAAAACCAGATATTGTACCTAAGTCGACAACTGACCCAACTCTCTGACAATCTCAGACGACTGGTGTCAGACGAGAACCAAGAACAGAGGTAAAATATTTATAGATTGAGGTGGGCACAAGGGGGTGGGGATGGGGAGGGGGAATTGGTGTGGGATAATATTGATTTTGGAATATTTATATTCTAAAAAAAATCTTTGTAAGTATTTAGAGATGTACATGTATAAATCTCTATATACTTTCAAAGATTTTTTTTTTATCATGTATTGCTTTTTGATTTATTTCAAGAAAAGCAAATTTTAAACTACCTATTCTTAAAACAAAATTCATACAAAATTTAATGAATGCTTGTACAAACATCTTAATTCTACTGCTTATTGTGATGTGTTATGACGAACATTACCAACAGATTGTTGATCGATGTGCAAAAGTCAGAATTTTCACATTTTCTGCATCAAAATGTTAGAGCCATCACAAGCAACCCACTTATTATTGTGTAAGCTTCAACAAGAATATAGATAATCCTTTTATATAGAAAATGCTAAGCTTTGAAAGTCATTTTTACAAGCCTACAAGTCACTAATGGATTAATGCATTATCTTGTGACCTTTAAGTAATACAAGGCTTACAAGAAGTTCGTGCAATAAATGCTGTATGTTATTAACGATAAAAAGGCAGAGAAAATGCACATAGATGTAAAGTACATATATGTGGTCGTAAGTGAGTCACTGTCGAGAACGGGAAAAAAATATTATTGTGAACAGAAGGAAATTAAACTTCTTGATCAAATCTTTCATCATCTCAATGAATAGATGAAGCATGCATTTCATTAAAGCATCTATGGAAAAAAAATGAGATGTGAATCTATGGCCGTTAACATTGAGGAAATTATGTCGTGTCTTCATATTTAAGTTAAGGTATCATTAATTTAGCATGAGACTTTGGGTCATTCATAATTCATTAATCAAGTGAATGTGAATACATGAATCTTCAACTGTCTGCAAGCTTTTAATTGGATAAGATAAAGTTTATTGAATGAAAGTACACTGGCTGCTGTTTCAACTCCATGTTCCTGATTTTGACAGACTGAGTTCTGAAATATAAGCAGGGATGGCTATGTCTCAAGGAATTTAACTAATTTTAGCAAATCTAACTGTAAACATATGTATATTCCTAATTCAGATTGTCAAACACAGGTTTTCTGTAGAATAAACTGATCCATATATAGAGGAAGAGACATGGGATTGTTCTTGGTTTTAGTCATTTCGAAAAACAAGTGCAGAGATGCCAATCCTCACCGGCATTTTAGACTTACTGTTTTTATGGCATCTAAAGTATACCTCAATGGGTTTTTTTTTCTTTTTTTTCAGTAAACCTCAATGTTATCTATCAAAAGTTTACATTATATTTATGAAAGGCATAATCTTGACAGTGCTCACTAAATGTGTTGTCTTAATTTCTCTAACTTTTTCACCTGATTTTCAAATGTGCAGATTTTGATTTTAGCAAAAATTGATATATAGAAAGTATTGAGCTTGTAATTAAAAAAGGAAAAATGTTAAGCCCCTCATTTATTTGAATGATTTTTTTCATTCACTTTTTGAAGATTTGGCAATTCTTCAGGGGATACAGTAGGTCAAGGTACACTGTACCATAGAGTCAGAGACACCTATAACTTTTCCTTCAAGATTTTACTGAAACAACCCGTTAATATGGCAATGAGAGAGATATTGTATTAATAAAAAAAAAGTTATAATGCATAGTTTTTCTAATGGAAAATTATTTTACCAAAAAATTATGCTCATGATAATTACGTGTAAGTCAATTATTTTATGCAACTACAGCATATTTTTTTTCATAATTTTTCTCAGAAATATTTTTAAAAACTCATAAACCTATTTGATTAATTGATAATGAATTAAGTTATCAACATAAGTATAGATTAAGAAACTTTAAAGCATTGATTTTCTTAGAAGTGACTGATATAATACAAGTACATACAGAAAAGCATAGAAAATCATGCAAATAGTGAAAGAATGAAGTGTTATTTAAATATAATGGCACACAAAGACTAATGAACAATCGGTTTTTGATTTCGATGAACGATGTTGCATTAATTTTTGATTCCTTTGGTAGTCTCATTTCAATATCATGGCACACATGCATAGATGCATGTGCATCGGTTTTTGCATGCGGTGTTGCAAGGATTAGAATAAATTCTGTCAATCATTTTTACATTTTATGTGTATTATAAAAGTTATTTTTGGTGAAATTTTTAAAATGCTACTCTTCTACAGTTTGAGTCTCATTTAAATATCACATGGCACACAAGTAGACTACACTAAGATACATAAAATAGTGCATCGGTTTTTGATTTCGATGAACGATGTTGCCAATGTTACTAAAAATAGAATTTTCTGAGAAATTCCTTTAAAACGCTACTCCTTCTACAGTTTTAGTCTCATTTCAATATCACTTGGCACACAAGTAGACTACACTAAGATGCATAAAATCATACATGTTAACTCTACCGATTTAAAACTCCATCTTCCGCCTACCGATTTTTCGAAATCTTACAAAAGTTGCGTCTTAAGTATTTTTGGTTCGCTTGGGCCATTTTTGCCACTCTCATAAAACTTGATTTGACTCGGAAGCATACAAACGCATCGATGTGTACATAGATTTCAAGCACGAATTTGACAACGACAGCAGCAAAGATTATCTGTGATTACATTGGTTACGATAAATTTAGTCAACATCATTGCCATTAAAAAGGAGATACAGCTTTTAAGAATTAGATGAAAACGTTTGTCATCGTCTATAAAAGCACAGGAGTTCACAATGTTATCAATAAAGTCAATAGAAATCAAAGACAAAAATTGGGTGGGGTGATTTATATAACGAAAGATAGGAAAATCTGGTTTAAACCATGTCATCATTTGTTTTTGTAACAACTGAATAAACATTCAGAATTATTGCTTCTAGGCTATAAGCAAAGATCACTCTTCATAAGGCTAAGTTAAAAGCAATTAATCCAAGCAAAATGATGAGCATGAAAAATATTTGTACAATTTATTCAAAAATTGTTAAAGTTGATATGATTAATTATTGTAGGTTTCATTTAAGGCTACATTCATGTATATTACATGGCCACGTAAAACAACGCGCGCGCAATGCTACCGCTTTTGAGGTCTGAATCTCCCTATTTTTCATCAAAATAGGTTAACATGTATGATAAAATAGTGCATCGGTTTTTGATTTCGATGAGCGGTGTTGCAATGGTTACTAAAAATAGAATTTTGTGAGAAATTCCTTTAAAACGCTACTCCTTCTACAGTTTTGGTCTGATTTCAATATTGCTTGGCACACAAGTAGACTACACTAAGATACATAAAAAGCATCGGTTTTTGATTTGATGAACGATGTTATGTTACTAAAAATGAAAGAAATTCCTTTAAAACGCTACTCTTTCTACAGTTTTAGTCTCATTTCAATATCACTTGGCACACAAGTAGACTACACTAAGATACAAAAAATAGTGCATCGGTTTTTGATTTCACTGAGCGGTGTTGCAATGGTTACTAAAAATAGAATTTTGTGAGAAATTCCTTTAAAATGTTTTACATAGAAATCAGTGGCACACAAGAACACTAATTTAAATAAAAATCGGTTTTTGATTTCAATGAACGGTGTTGCCATGGTTACTAAAAGTAGAATTTTCTGTGGAAAGCTGATTTCAATATAACTTATCACACAAGTAGACTACACTAAGATACATAATTCTGTGCATCGGTTTTTGATCAGTACAAACCAGTAGAGCTACAGTCTCGACAGAGACTTCTGGCTACCTATGTGGAATTAAAATTGATTTAAAGTAAGCTAAATTACAAAAGGAATCTTAAGCCCCTCTTTACGATTTTTCCATTCATTGATGTGGCAATTCTTCAGGTGATGGAAATTCTTTCTACCTACTTTGTCCAAGATTTTACTGGAAAACCCTCATATATTGTATTTAGATTAATAAAGGAGTCAAAATGATTTTACCAAATTATGCTCATGATAATCATGTGTAAGTCAATTATTTTATGCAACTACAGCATATTTTTTTTCATAATTTTTCTCAGAAATATTTTTTTAAAACTCGTAAACCTATTTGATTAATTGATAATGAATTAAGTTATCTACATAAGTATAGATTAAGAAACTTTAAAGCCTTGAATTTCTTAGAAGTGACTGATTAATACAAGTACAGAGAAAAGCATAGAAAATCTGCACATAGTAGAATGAAGTGTTATGTAATCTTCAAAGACTAAGGAACAAGGAAGAACTGCAGTAAGTTTGATTGGTAGCCATCATCATGTATAGATGCATGTTCGCATGATTTTGAAGGATTATAAATTCTGTCAATCATTTTCACATTTTATGTATGTTATAAGAGTTATTTTTGGTCACTTGAGTCAGACACTTTTTGATCATTATGATGTTCTTTCATGAGTTTCAAATTTTTTTTGCTGATTCAATCAGTGATTGTGCATCTTTGTGTCATGTTCTTCAAATTTTATTTTGAACATTTTCAATACATGTATCTCCTCCAGAACATAGGGGATTACTATAATTTGATATACCATTAAGGATCTTGGTGATTGAAGAAACAATTCACAGAAAACTTATGCCTGGTACCGGCTTGTAGATATTGAAAAAAATTGCTTGAGCCAAAGCCCTCAATGAGCCCCTGATCAAAATTTGTCCATTGTCTGTCGGTAGGGCGGTAAACTTTTACATTTTCATCTTCTTCTCAAGAACCACTGGGCCAATTTCAACCAAACTTGCTACAAAGTATCCTTGGTTAAAGGGGATTTTATTTGTTCATGAAGTGCCACACCCTTTTCCAAATGATAATTATGAATTTGAGAAAAATTAATGCCATTTTTAAAAATCTTCTTCTCAAGAACCACTGGGCCAGGAAAGATGAAACTCATGTGGAAACATCCTTGGGTAGTGTAAATTAAATTGTTAATATCATGACCCCCAGGGGTAGGGTAGGGCCAAAATGGCCGAATCAAAGTTTTACATAGGAATATATAGGAACAAATCTTTAAAAAATCTTCTTCTCAAGAACCACTGAGCCAGGAAAGATGAAACTCATGTGGAATCATTCTCAGATAGTGTAGATATCAAATTGTTAAAATCATGACCCCCGGGGTAGGGTGGGGCCACAATGGCCGATCAAAGTTTTACATTGGAATATATAGGAAAAATCTTTAAAAATCTTCTTCTCAAAAAGCACTGGGCCAGGAAAAGCATGTGGAAACTTAGTGTGAAAGCATCCTTGGGTGGGGCCAAAAGATCAAAGTTTTAAATAGAGTATATAGGAAAAATCTTTAAAATCTCATGAAAAGGGAGGAAAGATGAAACTATGTGGGGGCCTCTTATAGTGTAAATTCAAATTTGTTCAAATCATGACCCCCAGGGGTAGGGTGGGGCCAAAATGGCCAATCAAAGTTTTACTGGAATATATAGAATCTTTAAAAATCACCCAAGAACCACTCAGGAAAGTGAAACGATGTGGCCCAGATAATGGGCCTCTTGTTCAAATCATTATGATGTTCAAAGTTTTACATAGGAGTATATATCTTTTTTTTTATGCTGATTCAGTCAGTCATCTTTGTGTCATGTTCTTCAAATTTTATACTGAACATTTTCAATATCTCCTTTAGAACATAGGTGATTACTATAATTTGATATGCCATTAAGGATCTTGGTGATTGAAGCTTATAATTTGTTTAGCAACTCTTAATCATTCTTTCAATTCACAGAAAACTTATGCCTGGCTTCAGATATTTAAAGAAAATATTTTTTTTTTTAATGCATGGCTCATTCTTTGAAAGCATCTACCACAGTCTTATTTTTTTGCAAAGACAGAGAAAAAAAAATCCATAAAATTAGAGTAAGGGACCACACGGTGGGTGTAACTGGTCTAAAGGGGATGCTCACTCCTCCAGGGCACCTGATCCCACCTCAGATGTTTTTAGTGGTCCCTAATACTGCTCTAAATTTTGGAGTATGGACTTTAGATCTGAACTCCATTACTGTTCAATACCTTCAATATTTCATAGTGTGTTTTATATCTTTGAAGAAAGTATTAATAAATAAGAAAATGAATATAAATTTATCAATTTAAAATGAAATGCCAAAGAGAAAATGTGTATTTTAGGCTGGGTCAAATTAAGCAATCATTACATAATTCGTAAGCTGGAGCTAGGATAAACATCTTTTAATTTCCTGCTACAGGCTTCATTTTCACCAGATTTAATAAGAGGTCATCATCCCTAAATAAACTGCTATACACCTACAGCTGTTTTTATGTTCAGTGCCTCAAGATCCACTAAAGTAAATAACCTTGACCTTCAGACACAATTTAGATCAAAGAAAAAAATCAGCTGTACTTACGATTTTAACATAGAGGTCAAGTGATCGTAGCTAGAAAGAAAATTGAAAAACTACAATCTTTTGTAATATCTTGGCAGACATTTAGCTGAGAGATGAGATGAGGAGTTTATTATTGCTTTTTTTGATTACAACTTCTTGTTGCATGAATGCCATTTTAAAAGTAACATCAAAGTACACTAATAAATATTTCATATGAACTAATTCTTTTGGCCTTGCAGATTCAGTGTTACAGTACATGCAATTTTTAACAGCATCTAGAGAAATACAAATAAACCCTTGGTGTCATAACAGCTAGCTACTTCAAACATTATATAAAAATCAATAATTCTAAGTGCATAATGATGATGTAATGTCATCCATTAAGGTACATTATTTTACTGTTTTTTTTAGTTTTTTGTAATCTAAGTATTAATTGTCTGTTAATTTTGCAATTTGCTTTCACGTTATTATTTGATTTATAACAAAATTTAATTCTATAACTGTGTAAAAAGTTTTTTTTTTTCAATTTTATTATATATGTTGCATAAAGATTTATTGTTCATATACATTATGAGTCCATTTCTTATCATGTGTGAGATTCTGGCTCTGGGCCTGTAAAACTAAGATGGGCTCAGACTTTTGATATCAATCTTATTTTTCTAAAAAAAAATTCTTAGGATAAGTGAGATCGGTATCAAAAAGTGAAACTGAGATCGAAAAGTGACCTCTTCTGCAGAACTTAGGATTAAATAAAAGAGAAAAAAACCAGACACTATAAAACAGCTATAAAATTTGATGTTGTTTGAGATACTGATGTTCAACTGTAATTATATAGAGCTGAACTTCATAATCTTGAACACTGCATGCATATATCTTGAATATCATGGCTATGGGGAAGGCCTAGTGATTTGGAATTCCCAATTACTTACTCTTTATGTATTTTATCCTGGATATCTCTTAGCCTCAGATATCTAAAAGATTTGTTCTCAGTCTCAGTGAGTATTAGATAAGATTTGACTGTATTTAAATTGTGTACATCTGACATGTACAAGGAGGGGACCACTTGTAGGAGAGATTTGTATCATTTCGGGGCCTAAAGTTTTTACCCTCTAAAAGTACATTGTAAAATCTTAAGACTTAAAAAACTTTTATGTTTATATGAATTTAAATATGACTAGCTGTTTGATAAATTAAAGTGATGTTTAGAGTCAGACTGGTTGGTTCAGTTAAATGTTTGAACCAAATGACAGAACTGTACGTAAACATGGTATAGCATTAAAGTGTTTCAGAAACATATTGATTTAATGTAATGCATGATCACTGTTAAAATCCTTACGATTTTGATTGTAAAGAATCCTGTTCTTTAGTGCATTGAATTTGCCCTACACATCTTCACCATTCCTGATGTCTGTTTATGATAGCACTCCCATCATTTTCATGGGATTCTTAAGTGTTCACCAAAAGTGCAATCATAAAAAGTGATACAAAATGTTGCAAATTTGTGAAAACAATTAAACTTGTAAGGTGCATAATTTACTGAGGGCTTTTCTTTTTTTTACTTTTGAATTTCATATTTTATTTGTTCAAAATGAATGGGATGGGATCCAGGTTTATAAATAAAATTTTACAGTAGTCAAAATTTTCCTCTGATAATTTTTTTTCCTCATAATTGTTTTGTTTGTTTTGTTTTGTTTTCTGAAATAAATATTAAACTAAGCTTGAATGTTTATTTTCTTTAATAAAAATTTGATTTTTTAAAAAAACAGACACATGGAATAAAAAACATTCAGAAGTGTCACTAAAAAAATCAGCAATATTCATAAGTCAAAAGACATTTACTCTGATTTCATGTTTTGCGCCACATAATTTTTTTGGAAAAAGTCACATAAATTTGTCAGTCACATAACCTGCATATATATCAAGTACAGATGTCTTTCTGTCTGTCTGTAACGCTTTGATTTCCACACATATCTCAGAACCCTTTGAGCTTTTGCAATGAAATTTGCATGCAACTCCCTATGGACTAAAGAAGACCCCTATTGATTTTGACAAAAGGTAGTCAAGGTCATAAATAAGCAAATTCTGTGTGTTAAAACACTTTCGTTTCCACACGATATCTCTAGAACCATTTGAGCTATTGCAATGAAATTTTACATGACAACTCCCTGTGGCCTAGAGAAGAAATTGATTTTGAGGTTAAAAGGTCAATGTCAAGGTCGTAATTTATACATTCTGTCTGTGTGTAACACTATCATTTGGCGATATTTCAAGAAGATTTTGAGTATGCAATGTAATTTTATATTCAAAAACTCCCTAGGTACGTCTCTCGCCCCTCTCAATGTTCGCCCCGTTTGTTTTATTAGTCTTATAGTATTACATGTCGCTATTTTTGCGCAGGGGCATGAGGAGAGTTATGCGTATAAAACAGGTTCTCGGCGGACTTAATGTTCTTATTACATCTAAGAACTGTTTAATAAAGGCTTTCAAACACCATGGATTGTGTAATATTTTCATATATAACATGAAAACATGAATATATACATGTATGTGACTTCAGTTCTGCATATACTCTACTCCGCAGCGATTCCGTGGTATAGTGGTTATGTCTCTCGCTTCCAAAGTGAGAGGTACAAAGGAAATTGGCGAACCTTTCTTTCTTTTTTTTTTTAAATACTTTTTTTTTGTAACTAAAATAGTATTCAGCATGTGAAATGAAAAATTTATGAGGTTATAAAATCTCATTACAGTGTGATAAATATTCCATATAAAAAAATCTTCTATACGCATAATAAAGAATAAGCAATCAAAAATCTTTATATGCATATTGACATACTTGTATTTTATTTATTCAGTAAATGTATACATTTAATAATTCTACAAATTCAGTCAGGGGGAGCCGACTTTTTCCCTAAGCGGGGGACACGAATTCTCTGAATTAGCTTGTTATTCACTTTGTTTTGTTTGATTTTTTCATTTGAAATAAATATTAAACTTAGCTTCATATGTTTACTTTCTTTGATAAAGAATTGATTTTTTTTTACACAGACATATGGAATACATCAAGGCATACTGTCGGCAATATTCAAAGAAAGACAACTCGGATTTCATGAGGGAAATTGAAGGTAAACTGTTGTTAATTAATTTACATGATTTAAATATACAAACACTTGGGCATGTAATGCTGGAATTAAAACTAGTACTAAAAGTATGTGCCTTTCATTTGAAGGTCAATTAATTAGTCTGATCTATCTTATTCTGGGTCAGAATGCTTTTGATATGGCTCTTTTTACTGAAACTAGTATTGACTGTCAAACTCCAGCTTCAAGCAGTCATACCTGGAACTGAATTCATTCTGTTACCTCTCTTTTTGACACTGTGGATACATGTACATGTATGATAATTATGTGTGTAAATATTCATATCTTTTTCAGAGTTACAAGAAATGCATACTGCAAACTGCTTACAGACAGAAGAAATTGAAAACCATATTAATAGAGGTACATTAATAAAACACCATTAGAGAAGCCTTAATTTTTACGTGTATATATATATATATGTGCATACTGCCTTTTGTTATAAATTCAAAAACTGTTCTTTTTTCAAAATACTCAAATGTGAATAAAAATTTTTTGATCACCTAAGCTGAAAGGTCAGTTGAGCTTTTCTGAGCACTTGTTATCCATTGTCCATAATTTGTCTGTTGTCCATCTGTCTGTCCATTCTTCTGTAAACTTTTCATGTATTTAACTTGACCATCATGGTAGCTCAGTTGGTAGAGTGGTCACTCATTGATTGGAAGGTCATGAGTTTGAATCTCGGCCATGACTCACCTAAGAAGCTGAAAATGGGAAGCAACTACTCCTTCACGTTATATGCTGGGCTATTTGAAGTGAAAGTGTGGGTAAAAATTTGAAGCCCTTCACTGCCAGGTACATTGTATATGGTGGCATCCTCAAAGTCGCAGTATATGTACTTATAAATGATATACATTGATTTATTTTTGTACATCCATATGTTGTTTTGTTTCCAGGTATAAGACATCTTTCCAAGATCAAGAGAACTCTCAATGGTGAGGTGAATGACAAAGAATCAAGAGGTCAAGGTCAGGTCAGAAATAATAAGGTCACTTGTACCCAAAGGGGGACATCTCATAAGTCAGCTCTCCAGCAAAGGAACTAGTATGAAATAATTGATCTAAAGAGGATAAGTACAGTTGAGCATTGATATCTCATACAGTGGTATCTCAAATATCAAGGATATTTCAAAGTGATCAGGAAATCCCATCTGCTTATTATTTATGAATTTGCATTCGATATCTCACATAGTCAGATATCTCATTTTTTTTTAGTGGTCCTATTGAGTTTGAGATAACGAGTTTTGATATTATATTAATCTAAATTGAGGATGTTTATTTTATGATGTATTTCAGTTGATTTCTGCTTTATTTATAACAAGTGTCTCTGTTATACTTATGCTTACTAAGTACAATTTAAAGTGCATGTATTTAGATATCTTTGTTATATATATATATATATTGTTTTTTGAAGATGGCACATTTATGCCCTCTACTTGCAATTATCTTATCATGCAAGAAAAATATGTCAACAAGCAAGATTATTATGTCTAGTTAGTAATTAGTGAGTAAAAGTTTACCAAAAATTAAAATTGATTCTCTGAAGAGATTGGAAACGTTCATGTAAAAAATAGTTACTGTATACAGGGAAATTTTCGCCCCCGTTTTATTTTCGCTCCTTTCGCCATACTTTCAATTGGGCGAATTTAAAACGGGGCAAATTCAAAGAATACAGTATAATTTCTTAAACAAAACTATGACTGGGTGAATTTAAAACGTGCCAAAATTGTTTTCAAGTGTGAAAGGGCGAAATTAAGATGGGGCGAAAATAACCCTGTATACAATATTTTGCAGGTAAGCAAATTATTTTGGATGTTGACATACTTTTCTTGTATGTTTACAATATACAGTATCTTGCTTCTAGGCATTGAAATACATGTATAACACTATAATTTGTTAACCTCTGCATCCATATATACACAAAGTTTGTTACATCAAAGAAATCCAAAACAAAATTGTATAAAAGAAAAGCATTAATTTATGTTTTTTTTACATTTTGTTTCCTTAATTCAAAGTTTTTTTTCTTATAACTTTTACTCTTTTTTTCAAGTTTCCTTATATACTTGATCTGAACACCTCAGCATACCCATTTAAACAGGTACCTCAAGAGATACTAATGAATACCATTCCAAAGAATGAATTTAAAATACAGTGAAAGTTGTTTTATCTAGATATTGTGTAATCTGAAATCTTGTATACTGTAGATGTACTTTTTTCCACAGTGTCATAATTCCGCGGACTCTCATTTTCTGTTTAATCCTCGGGTAGAAAATTACACTGATTTTTTAGACTGTCACTATATGCCTTACATTTATATTAAGTATGCTTGGACAAATATCTGCGGAAAATTTGTCACCGCGTACATAGCGTAAAATAATACCACGCGGAAAAAAAGTACTTCTACAGTATATCTATGTGAAGTTTAAGTCTCTGTGGGTAATACTAGTTATTTAATCTTGTCTAATGCAGAATGTTTTCTAATCAAGCAAGTTTTATATGAAACAAATGGTATTCAGATTTGACAAGTTTAAGTATATAAATTATAAATAATGACCCTCATTGTTGATTTTCTTGAGCTTTTGGTAAGAAAAAAATTGGTATAATGACTCAGATATACATGTAGCATGATGGATGGCTAAGTTCTGTAATTTCCTTTCTTCAAATTTTCCATTACAGCTATTTTTTAAAAAGCAATATTTAAAAAATAAATAAATGAAAATAGTATATACGAGTAAAAATTAAATTTTTTTTGTTTACTTTCACTTGCATTTATTTGTAGGTAAATAACATTAACAGATTATGTTTGTGTGAAGTGTTCAAATTGTTTTCCTTTCATTGTTCACATTTGTTGTCTTTAAGTGATGTGTATCTGACTGTTTTCTGTATTTTTAAAAATAGATTTTTAACTTTTAATATTTTTATGGTTTTATAACATACATTTTTTACTGCTGATTTAAGTGCTACGCTTATTTATTATATATATTGTTGATTTTTGCCTGTGATCTTTTTAATTTATAATTATACCTTTTTTCACAATATTATAAGTTGTTAATGATGTATTAGTTATCTAGTCGCTTTTGATATACATATAAATCTTAAAATGAATAGCAAACTAAATAAGGCTAGTAATCATGGTAATAATGCTTAAAAAAATAAAGAATAATAATATAAAATGAAAATAGTTTTTGTGATGGTGTATTGATGAAGAACAATATATTAAATGAGAAGAGAGGAAAGAGTGGTGGATTTTTTTTTATATATATATATATATATATATATATATATATATATATATATATATATATATATAGAAAGCACAAAGAAATTCACTTTTACATGGATACCCACTTCCGCCCCAGCCCGGGGTTGAATTTCGACCTTGAATCTGTCTCCTAGCAGTGCAGGAACAGCGTGCTAGACCGCTCGGCTATCTAGGCAAGTCAAAAAACTTGCTTTCGATGCCGATGGAATTTCGCGGCGCTGCCCTACACTACACGGTCATTGAGAATAGAAGTGAGATACAGTTATTTGGACATTAGTTTTAACAGAGGATTGTTACCAATACATGTTGTAATGAAATTAATTATTATTTATAAAGCACATTTTACAACAACTCTTAAACTAACATAACTGTCCTAAGTGAAGAAATATTATATAGAAAGCACAAAGAAATTCACTTTTACATGGATACCCACTTCCGCCCCAGCCCGGGGTTGAACTCTCGACCTTCGGAATCTGTCTCCTAGCAGTGCAGGAACAGCGCGCTAGACCGCTCGGCTATCTAGGCAAGTCAAAAAACTTGCTTTCGATGCCGATGGAATTCTCGCGGCGCTGCCCTACACTACACGGTCATTGAGAATAGAAGTGAGATACAGTTATTTGGACATTAGTTTTAACAGAGGATTGTTACCAATACATGTTGTAATGAAATTAATTATTATTTATAAAGCACATTTTACAACAACTCTTAAACTAACATAACTGTCCTAAGTGAAGAAATATTATATAGAAAGCACAAAGAAATTCACTTTTACATGGATACCCACTTCCGCCCCAGCCCGGGGTTGAACTCTCGACCTTCGGAATCTGTCTCCTAGCAGTGCAGGAACAGCGCGCTAGACCGCTCGGCTATCTAGGCAAGTCAAAAAACTTGCTTTCGATGCCGATGGTATTCTCGCGGCGCTGCCCTACACTACACGGTCATTGAGAATAGAAGTGAGATACAGTTATTTGGACATTAGTTTTAACAGAGGATTGTTACCAATACATGTTGTAATGAAATTAATTATTATTTATAAAGCACATTTTACAACAACTCTTAAACTAACATAACTGTCCTAAGTGAAGAAATATTATATATATACAAAGAAATTCACTTTTACATGGATACCCACTTCCGCCCCAGCCCGGGGTTGAACTCTCGACCTTCGGAATCTGTCTCCTAGCAGTGCAGGAACAGCGCGCTAGACCGCTCGGCTATCTAGGCAAGTCAAAAAACTTGCTTTCGATGCCGATGGAATTTCGCGGCGCTGCCCTACACTACACGGTCATTGAGAATAGAAGTGAGATACAGTTATTTGGACATTAGTTTTAACAGAGGATTGTTACCAATACATGTTGTAATGAAATTAATTATTATTTATAAAGCACATTTTACAACAACTCTTAAACTAACATAACTGTCCTAAGTGAAGAAATATTATATAGAAAGCACAAAGAAATTCACTTTTACATGGATACCCACTTCCGCCCCAGCCCGGGGTTGAACTCTCGACCTTCGGAATCTGTCTCCTAGCAGTGCAGGAACAGCGCGCTAGACCGCTCGGCTATCTAGGCAAGTCAAAAAACTTGCTTTCGATGCCGATGGAATTCTCGCGGCGCTGCCCTACACTACACGGTCATTGAGAATAGAAGTGAGATACAGTTATTTGGACATTAGTTTTAACAGAGGATTGTTACCAATACATGTTGTAATGAAATTAATTATTATTTATAAAGCACATTTTACAACAACTCTTAAACTAACATAACTGTCCTAAGTGAAGAAATATTATATAGAAAGCACAAAGAAATTCACTTTTACATGGATACCCACTTCCGCCCCAGCCCGGGGTTGAACTCTCGACCTTCGGAATCTGTCTCCTAGCAGTGCAGGAACAGCGCGCTAGACCGCTCGGCTATCTAGGCAAGTCAAAAAACTTGCTTTCGATAAAAGATGGAATCTCGCGGCGCTGCCCTACACTACACGGTCATTGAGAATAGAAGTGAGATACAGTTATTTGGACATTAGTTTTAACAGAGGATTGTTACCAATACATGTTGTAATGAAATTAATTATTATTTATAAAGCACATTTTACAACAACTCTTAAACTAACATAACTGTCCTAAGTGAAGAAATATTATATAGAAAGCACAAAGAAATTCACTTTTACATGGATACCCACTTCCGCCCCAGCCCGGGGTTGAACTCTCGACCTTCGGAATCTGTCTCCTAGCAGTGCAGGAACAGCGCGCTAGACCGCTCGGCTATCTAGGCAAGTCAAAAAACTTGCTTTCGATGCCGATGGAATTCTCGCGGCGCTGCCCTACACTACACGGTCATTGAGAATAGAAGTTTAAGAGTTGTTGTAAAATGTGCTTTATAAATAATAATTAATTTCATTACAACATGTATTGGTAACAATCCTCTGTTAAAACTAATGTCCAAATAACTGTATCTCACTTCTATTCTCAATGACCGTGTAGTGTAGGGCAGCGCCGCGAGAATTCCATCGGCATCGAAAGCAAGTTTTTTGACTTGCCTAGATAGCCGAGCGGTCTAGCGCGCTGTTCCTGCACTGCTAGGAGACAGATTCCGAAGGTCGAGAGTTCAACCCCGGGCTGGGGCGGAAGTGGGTATCCATGTAAAAGTGAATTTCTTTGTGCTTTCTATATAATATTTCTTCACTTAGGACAGTTATGTTAGTTTAAGAGTTGTTGTAAAATGTGCTTTATAAATAATAATTAATTTCATTACAACATGTATTGGTAACAATCCTCTGTTAAAACTAATGTCCAAATAACTGTATCTCACTTCTATTCTCAATGACCGTGTAGTGTAGGGCAGCGCCGCGAGAATTCCATCGGCATCGAAAGCAAGTTTTTGACTTGCCTAGATAGCCGAGCGGTCTAGCGCGCTGTTCCTGCACTGCTAGGAGACAGATTCCGAAGTCGAGAGTTCAACCCCGGGCTGGGGCGGAAGTGGGTATCCATGTAAAAGTGAATTTCTTTGTGCTTTCTATATAATATTTCTTCACTTAGGACAGTTATGTTAGTTTAAGAGTTGTTGTAAAATGTGCTTTATAAATAATAATTAATTTCATTACAACATGTATTGGTAACAATCCTCTGTTAAAACTAATGTCCAAATAACTGTATCTCACTTCTATTCTCAATGACCGTGTAGTGTAGGGCAGCGCCGCGAGAATTCCATCGGCATCGAAAGCAAGTTTTTTGACTTGCCTAGATAGCCGAGCGGTCTAGCGCGCTGTTCCTGCACTGCTAGGAGACAGATTCCGAAGGTCGAGAGTTCAACCCCGGGCTGGGGCGGAAGTGGGTATCCATGTAAAAGTGAATTTCTTTGTGCTTTCTATATAATATTTCTTCACTTAGGACAGTTATGTTAGTTTAAGAGTTGTTGTAAAATGTGCTTTATAAATAATAATTAATTTCATTACAACATGTATTGGTAACAATCCTCTGTTAAAACTAATGTCCAAATAACTGTATCTCACTTCTATTCTCAATGACCGTGTAGTGTAGGGCAAAAGAATTCCATCGGCATCGAAAGCAAGTTTTTTTGACTTGCCTAGATAGCCGAGCGGTCTAGCGCGCTGTTCCTGCACTGCTAGGAGACAGATTCCGAAGGTCGAGAGTTCAACCCCGGGCTAAGGCGGAAGTGGGTATCCATGTAAAAGTGAATTTCTTTGTGCTTTCTATATAATATTTCTTCACTTAGGACAGTTATGTTAGTTTAAGAGTTGTTGTAAAATGTGCTTTATAAATAATAATTAATTTCATTACAACATGTATTGGTAACAATCCTCTGTTAAAACTAATGTCCAAATAACTGTATCTCACTTCTATTCTCAATGACCGTGTAGTGTAGGGATTTTCCATCGGCATCGAAAGCAAGTTTTTTGACTTGCCTAGATAGCCGAGCGGTCTAGCGCGCTGTTCCTGCACTGCTAGGAGACAATTCCGAAGGTGTTCAACCCCGGGCTGGGGCGGAAGTGGGTATCCATGTAAAAGTGAATTTCTTTGTGCTTTCTATATAATATTTCTTCACTTAGGACAGTTATGTTAGTTTAAGAGTTGTTGTAAAATGTGCTTTATAAATAATAATTAATTTCATTACAACATGTATTGGTAACAATCCTCTGTTAAAACTAATGTCCAAATAACTGTATCTCACTTCTATTCTCAATGACCGTGTAGTGTAACATAATTCCATCGGCATCGAAAGCAAGTTTTTTGACTTGCCTATATAGCCGAGCGGTCTAGCGCGCTGTTCCTGCACTGCTAGGAGACAGATTCCGAAGGTCGAATTCAATGGGGCGGAAGTGGGTATCCATGTAATAGTGAATTTCTTTGTACTTTCTATATAATATTTCTTCACTTAGGACAGTTATGTTAGTTTAAGAGTTGTTGTAAAATGTGCTTTATAAATAATAATTAATTTCATTACAACATGTATTGGTAACAATCCTCTGTTAAAACTAATGTCCAAATAACTGTATCTCACTTCTATTCTCAATGACCGTGTAGTGTAGGGCAAAAGAATTCCATCGGCATCGAAAGCAAGTTTTTTGACTTGCCTAGATAGCCGAGCGGTCTAGCGCGCTGTTCCTGCACTGCTAGGAGACAGATTCCGAAGGTCGAGAGTTCAACCCCGGGCTGGGGCGGAAGTGGGTATCCATGTAAAAGTGAATTTCTTTGTGCTTTCTATATAATATTTCTTCACTTAGGACAGTTATGTTAGTTTAAGAGTTGTTGTAAAATGTGCTTTATATATATATATATATATATATATATATATATAAACTTTTCACCTCTTGTTCTCGTAAGGCCATATGCATAGGCCTCAAAATTTGAAGGAGAGACCTCTCACGGTAGCTCAGTCGGTAGAGCGCATGCTCTGTAATGGGGAGATGATGTGAGTTCGAATATCAGCTGCGACTGACCTTAAAGTCGTTAAAAAAATGGATAACAACTGTTCCTTTGCCATGCAGTGTGCATTTTGTAGTGATAGTTGCGATTCCTTTGGATGAGACCTTAAAACCGAGGCCCTGTGTCACGACAGGCGTCATCTTTGCTAGCCAATGCAAGTGTCCGAATTGTTAACCCTGAGAGATGAGGATAAACGGATCGAACACTTGGCTAGTGAAAATAGACAAGCGTTGGAAAGATAAAGATCACTCACTGCTCAATAGCTATAAGTGCCCAATTAAGTTCAATTTTGAGGCCCTTCGCCGGTAAATGGTCTATTTAAGTGAAAAATTTTCGAATTGAATGTTAAACAACATGCAATCACATAATCACAAAAGAAGAGAAATGTACCTACAGTCAAGTCTCGTTTTTTTTCAACTTGGTAGGATCGAAAATCATAGGGTCAACCATGTATGAAAATAAAAGCCTAGGAAATACTAGCCTAATAATTTGAAAACTCCATGCATTCGCCTTAAAGATACCATATACTTGTACTTAATTTTATGCACATACTGTATATTACCAAGTTTTTTGACAGCAGCTTGTCTCGTAGGTAGACATTTTTTACGTACATGTTTATAACTGAATGGGAGACAATAAAATCCAGCTGAATATATTGCCACCCAAATAAGAGAAGATGACGATGGAAAGTCACGTGACCGTTAAGTAAGTCTAAAACAAAAATCTTTCAAAGCATAGTCTGACCTCTTATGATAATGTACAGTGTATTCTAAATTTCATCTTATCTAAAATACTGAATTAAAATAAAATAACACCTTAATTGAAATTCTAGTCACGTATTTTCCCCATTTCCTGCCTGCATATTGATTAGGAAGTTGTGGATGATGATATATGAAAACAAGAAAAGTTGCTATGGATTATGACGATGTTATAGCCGATTTGGATTCCTTTGGTAAATATCAGAGACGTGTGTTCCTCCTGATTTCTCTCCCCTGTATGTTTACGGGATTTGGAGCCCCGGCGACGAGTTTTATCTTAGGAGATCACCAACACAGGTACTTGTAGAATTTAACAAAAATTTCAAGACATTCTACTCTTTAATAGTTATATATACATGTATATGTAGTCCTATTTCAAATATTTCAGGGAATACTTGATATTAGAATCAAGTAAAGAGGAAAATGGATAGTTCCAGACTTTCACAAATGTTTGTTTAAATTTTCAAAACAAATTTAAAAAAAAAGCATATTTTGAAATGAAATTCACGAAGAGGGCAACAGCGATACACATATGTATTTTATGGATAGGACCTCTTATTCCACTAGTGAAATGTTACAGTCCTTAATAGAGCGAAGAAATAAAGAATTAAACTTACCTTGGAACCACCCGAAACCCAACAAAGGAAACTTTAATTGACCCCTGAGCTGTTAAGTTGGTAAGAATAACCATACATAAATTATAAAGTTAAGGAACAGCCTGATTAAAAATTCAGCTGTTTGGCAATGTTAAATTAATACTACTATAGTATTCTGTATTACGCGAAGTATATCCAACACAGGCAGAAATTAAAATTTTGCATCATATACTATCAAAATATATTTAAATCCTTAATTTAGTAGTTATCCAACTTATTCTCATAGTTCCCTTTCTAAGGAAGAAATTCTTCAAAATCATATGTCAGTTTTGAATATTCCTTAACAGCTGAAGAATACTTACAAACAAAGATACATAGCAAGTTCCAGCAAATGTGCAAACAAGCCTCTTTCTTTACTCCTCCCTAAGATATTGACAGTAGTGAAGGATAAACTTCAAGAGAACTGTGCAAAAATATTCAAGAAGTAGTGAAAATCAGATGTGGATACTTATAAATTCCAAGGAGTTTTTGGAAAATTTGATATCACAAGATTTTACCAACTTACGAATTTTTCAACTTTATGCACATCAAATCCCCACGATAAAGTCCAGGCTTTTTGATATCATTGAAAGCTGCTTTTTCAATAAAGATGGAACTCGTAAATTTACTTTACTTGTCATTGGTCATTTGCATAAGTACTTTGTTAAAAACAATCTAATGATACACACAAGTACTCTGAAAATGACATCAAAAAGATGCTAAGTTTCTGATTGACCATATCTTTGTTGTTTTTGGAGACAGACTAGGTCTTCCAACAATCTATTGAAATTCCCATACTTACCAACGGCGCCCCGTTATAAGCAGACCTGTTTTTGAATTTATATGAAGCAGAATTTGTGCAAAATCTTGCGTGAAAGGAAGAAAACACTTGCTGTGACCTTCTACTAGGCATTTAGATATATCGACAATGGTAATTTCCATTCTTATTTCGATACGATATATCCTGGTGAGCTTGAGATAAAACATACCACAGAGTCTGACTCATCTTTTTCATATTTGGATATTCTACTTGAAAAAGACGTTAATGGTAATCTAACAACCAAGCTCTATGATTAATATGATGACTTTAATTTCTATCGTCAACTTTCCTTATGCAGCAAAAAATCTTCATCACCTGCGTATGGAGTTTTTATATCTCAGTTGATTCGATACGCAAGATTATGCCTTGTGAACAATTTCTAAAACGAGGTAAACTATTGACAAACAAGTCGATAAAACAAGAAATTTAAGCAGTCTCGTTTAAAGTCACAATTTCGTTTGTTCTGTGGTCGATACAATGACTTTGTCAGCAAATACAGTTTATCATTGAGTTAAATACCGGCTGACGTTTAACATACGTTTTTCATACTAATTGTTACTCCGTTATTTACACATTGAATTGACGATGGATTTGTCCTTTATTTTCCGATCAAGGAGCAAACGGCGACATGGCATCTGATCTCATCTCTGATGTTCTGGAGATTTTATTTCTTTATTTCTTTATTTATTTTTTTTGCTCCTGTTTTTATATTGTGTTTTGGAATTTAGATCTTGAATACAGTTCCTTATTTCCATATTTTTTTAAAATTCAAAAAAAAAAGTTCGAGCAGGTCAAGAATTAATTATTCTACAAAAGAGCATGGTTGCTCTAAATACAGCATTTTTAAAAACACAGGATTGATTGATTGATTGTATATTGTTTAACGTCCCTCTCGAGAATTTTTCACTCATATGGAGACGTCACCGTATGCGGGTCAAAGGCTTCAAGGAATGGGTGGACTTAACGCCCTATTTTGGATCTTTTTGCGACTCCTCTACCAAGCTGTAAATGAAGTGAATCCAAAATGTATTACGAGCAATGGAAAGAGCTACATGTACTTGGTTATATTAGGTGGAACATTTGTACAAAACCAATGCCCTGTTGTGTCATGTATCAAAATTGAAGCAACGATACATGAGTATCGTCTTCCGGAATTCGACATGTACCCGGACTGGTTTTTATGTCACACAATCAATATTTATAGGAGGCGGGGCTATCGATCGGCGTCATTGTTGACATCGCTCTCTCTCCCTCTCTCTATCTCTCCATAAAATTCGAATACGTGTTAAGCATATTACAGCGATGTCAATATTGTAAAAATGTGATGACACGCAAAATTAAAACAATATTTATTTTGCCAAATTCTGAAAACGGCAACAAAACACGCTCAAAGACATAATTTAGATCGAGGTCAGTTTGAAGAATACAGTGTAACTATTTTCACGAGTCGCAGGTGGACATCACGTGATGAATTGTAATATTAAACAGGTCAATCGAAGACATAACAATGGAAGCTAGAAGTTTCTTTTGAACATGTTTTTTGTTAAATTAAGTGTGAGCACACGTTTGTCGGTTCTTCTCCTTTTAACATAACATTTTGTTCAATATACAACTACAGTTTTCTTAAGAACAGCCGACAAACATGTGCTGACTATGTATTCAGACGATGAAAAACGCGTGACCCTGATTATCTATTGATATTCAAGAAATCTTCAGGCACCATGCTTTCGATATTTATTTTGTTTACCTCTAAAAAGGCGTTTAAAATTCTAATCCGTACCATGAATACACGGTTAAGATATCGGGAGTTTATATGATGGAAAAAAATAAACATTTTGTGAAACTTAAATTTATGGCATTTTTTCTGGCCAGTTAAGTCCACCCATTCTTTGGACCTATACTCGGCACCCAGGGCCTTTGAGCAGTGAGGGTTCTTTATCGTGCCAACGCCTACCGTGACACGGGACCTACGTTTTTAAGGTCATATCCGAAAGACCCGTGACTTTCACTTCTAGTGCCGAGCTCTTGGCGAAGGAACAGTCACTACCTTTGTTTACGTATTAGGTATGACGCGGCGCCGCGAACGAGAATCGAACCCGGGCCTCCCGATCACGAAGCGAACGCTCTACTACTAGGCTACCGAAAACACAGGAAGATTGCTGACAGATAATTAAGGGATTTCAACAACCCATTTCAACCAGTTTTTCATAAATTCTATGGTCGATACATGTATAAAGGCATTGTAAGCAACTTCAACTTCCGTGTATCAAAGGATCGTATTTTGGCTGACGTTTTTGTACCAAAACATTGCTAAGTTTTTTAAAAAATGAATTTGTCTATGGAAACCTTTGTTACAATATGAAATATGATAACAACTCAAAATGTAATAAACCTTTAATATATATATATATATATATATAAAATTGCATTTTTTCATTATAAATACATGTACTGTAGATACTAAATTTTCGCGACACCTTATTTTCGCGAGATTGTCATTGACACTTTGTAAGCGAGACATAATTTTCACGAATAGTTGTTATTCCTCTATATAATCGTAAGGAATACTTTTATACGCGAGAATTAAATTTTCGCGAATCCATTATCTCGCGTAATTACGCTAAGATAAAGTTCTCGCGAATAAAAAGTGATTTACAGTATTACATTTTGCGTCAATATCAACGCAAAATGTAATAACGTAAATTGTAATAACACGATTTTCGAATTATTGCATTTTTGCGTTTTGACATTCTGCATTGACCTCCACGCAAATTGTTTTAAAGCAAAATTAGTGTAATAATCCCAGTTTATTATTATTTTTTGTGTTATCATAACTTTCGCGTCGTAACAAATTGTTCCGTCAAACTGAAGAATATATATGGCTCAAGACTTGTTTGACCAGACAACAGGGGATGCTTACACCTTCTAGACACCTGGTCCCATCTCTTGAATCTCAAAGGGTTACGTTTTTTGCCTCATTCGCAGAATTATTTTGTTTATAGATTTTTTTTTTTTATTTTAGGTCAATCACTCTTTCTTATCTTCATTTTTTTCGTCCATACATCTTTCAAGTCTTCGTTTCAGGTGTAAAATCCCATTTTACGACAATGACACATACGAAGTACAATCCAAAGTCCATCTGGCCGCCATAAATGAGACGATTCCAATGAATTCAGATGGAACATATTCATCTTGTACTGTACTGATAAATGGGACAGAAGAGAAATGTTCCGAGTGGGTATATGATCGTTCAAGATTTATCCGTACTGTCACATCAGATGTGAGTAACTCTGAACCTTTGTATTTTTATTATTGATCTTTCTTAATACTGTTGTTAGAATTCTATCCATTTAGGTTTATCTATCTACATGTGTGGATTAAACACATGTTAAAGACTTTTTCGAAACTTGAATACTTTTATTCATACAAATTCATATACAATATACATATTTGCGATAATCTATGACATCTATTTTACAGAAAGGGAAGTTTTTTATGCAAGAAATAATTAAGCGACTTGCCAAAATTACACATTGAGAACTAAGATTTTGGAAAAAATGAAATTTTCTTGTACTTTGAACATGTTGAATATATATGCAAAAATATTCAGAAAACATCTGTTTTTAGTTTAACCTTGTGTGTGATTCCCTCTATTTTCTCTATGTAGTTTAACCTTGTGTGTGATTCCCTCTATCTCCGTTCTCACCTGAAGATCACCTATTTGGTGGGGTTTCTTGTGGCCTCCATGTTTTCACAGATTGGAGATGTGTAGGTACATCATTTCATCTACTGCAAAACATTAATGGTTTTCTCAACTCTTAAGAATAGAAACTTTCCTTTTGAAGTGTATCCACATACATGATGTATTTTTTAACAAAGCACAATTGGGCTTAAAATCTGAGACCAAATTTTTTTAATTCAAATGTTGTTCGTCAGCAAATGAAATATATTTTTATTGATATAGATATGGAAGACGGATTGTTATGTTAGTTTTGTGTACACTCAGAGTTGCTGTCGTCTTTGCCATCCCATTCTCCATTAACCCGGCGATGTTTGGAATTTTGAGGTTTTTCGAGGGACTAACCTCTTTAGCTTTCTATCAGATGTCATTTGTAACAGGTAAACATAACATGCATGTACGAACGTATGTGCGCGTGCGCGAACACAAAGTTGTGACATACTAAAACATATGATACCATACTCTTTCTTTATAAATGGAATTTCTAACATTGAAGCCTGCGAGATTATTTTTTTAAACAAGGTGTGTTGTCTCAAATAAATCTCAAACTCCAAGGCCAAGGCCTGACAAACTTTGTTACCAAATGAAAGGACTTGTTTTGACTAAATACATATAAAATATGAAGGTACAAGCCCTAAAGATTAAAAACTGATTGCCAAGGTTATTTTTTTATTTAAATATGAGCCAGACTTCAAGTTGCTAAGGGGAAAGCCTTGTCATAGAAAAATATGCATTTGAAATATTAAACCATAGCCCCAATTGTTCAAAAGTTATTTCCAAGTTTATTGTTTTCAAACTCCAAGGTCATGGCCAAAATTTTTGGAATCCAAAGAGAAGGACTTTTCACATGGCATACATCTGTGAAATATGAAGGTTCTAGTACTTAAGGTAGAATTCTTCTCTGGTTTCTGAGTAGATGAAATATTCAATGTATTTTTAGCTCTACTGGTCAGAGCCCAGAAGAGCTTATGCGATAGTAATGCGTCCGTCGTCCGTCCGTCTGTCTGTCTGTCCGTCTGTAAACAATTTTTCAAAATGCTACTCCTCCTACAATGATTTCAATATAACTTGGCACACAAGTAGACTACACTAAGATACATAATTCTGTGTATCGCTTTTTGATTTCGATGAACGGTGTTGCCGTTGTTACTAAAAATAGAATTTTTTGTGAAAATCATTCAAAATGCTACTCCTCCTACACTTTTGGTCAGATTTCAATATAACTTGGCACACAAGTAGACTACACTAAGATACATAATTCTATGTATCGCTTTTTGATTTCGATGAACGGTGTTGCCGTTGTATCTAAAAATAGAAAAATTTGTGGAAATCATTCAAAATGCTACTCCTCCTACAGTTTTCATCTGATTTCAATATAACTTGGCATACAAGTAGACTACACAAAGATACATAATTTTGTTTATCGGTTTTTGATTTCGATGAACGTTGTTACTAAAAATAGATTTTTGTGTGAAAATCATTCAAAATGCTACTCTTCCTACAGTTTTGGTCTGATTTCAGTATAACTTGGCACACAAGTAGACTACTCTAAGATACATAATTTTGTTTATTGGTTTTTGATTTCAAAGAACGGTGTTGCCGTTGTTACTAAAAGTAGAAATTTCTGTGAAAAACATTCAAAATGCTATTCCTCGTACAGTTTTGGTCTGATTTCAATATAACTTGGCACACAAGTAGACTACACTAAGATACATAATTCTGTAGATAGGTTTTTGTTTCAATGAACGGAGTTGCTGTTGATACTTAAAAAAGAAATTTTTTGTGAAAATCATTCAAAATGCTACTCCTCCTACAGTTTTGGTCTTATTTCAATATAACTTGTCACACAAGTAGACTACACTAAGATACATAATTCTTTGTATCGGTATTTGTCATTATTCTATTTATTGCTTTTGTAAAGTTTTATATCCCAACTGCTACTTTTCTCTTTCTTTATTATAAGTACAAACCAGTAGAGCTTCAGTCTCGACAGAGACTTCTGGTTTCTTATATGTCTTATATATTTAGGTGAAAGAGATTTAAAAGATCATATTTTTCTTTCCTCATCACAATTGTACAACTTAAAATAGAAATGGTTAATTGTGTTCAAAAACTAGCAGGGACTATATTTTTGGCGGAATGGTGGCGTATGAAAATATCCTCTTTTCTGCCTCTCAAAATTATTATAGAACTACGAATTTAGTTATAATTTTTACACAATCAAAGACTAGAAGAATTTTTCATATGTTAGCTAAATTAATGATAAGGAACTAAAGTTTTAAAATATATCAAATAAATATGAATTTCCAAACAATCTACAATTATGTTAGGTTTTAAAAGCTTCCAATCTCTGTACAGATATGAACCAAAAATCCATAGAAAGTGTTTTTACTCTCTTACTAAACGGTCAAAACTTTTTGTTTTTGTATCATTTTGTATCTCTTTATGACTGCTTTACCATATGTGAAAATTAAGAAAAATTTAAATATAGGGCGCATATAAAAAATAACTTAAATATCCTAAAAATTTAAGAAAAACAGAGAAAATTCGGATTAGCCAAAAATCCATTTTATTTAACTATTTGCGTCAGTTTGGTAATATCATCTTATAGACCCTATATCGTAATATTTTTTTATGCAAAAAGAAAAACATTTAATATTTTGAAATAGAAGACCCTATCTCATGATTGGATGTAGTTATTTTTATAATTAATGTCCAGGGAAAAGGAAATGACCTTGAACTGACCTTGACTCTAATATAAAACGGTCAAAACTGATCTTACTGCTAATGTCTTCTTGAGTCTGTGAAAATTTCTTTAATTTTTAAATACAAGACATACAGTTTTGTGTGAGAAGAATCCTACCTTAATGGAGATATGTCTACGGTAAAAGTTTCTTTTAAAGTGGGATAAACTCAATGAGCATGACAAAAGGTCAAGAGGTAAAAAATATTTAAAGGTTAAATATTTATATCCATGGAAAGCTCTTATCTAATTGAATATACATGTGAAGTATGGAAACCCTAGCACCAACTGTTCAACAGTCATCACCAAAGTTAAAGTTGAGTAAATTCTTGCAAAATTGGGTCAAATTTCAAGGTCAAGGCCATGAGGAGGTCAAATGTGTCGGAACCCAGAGAAAGTCCTTGACACAAGGAATAAACGTGTGAAATATGACAGCCTTAGATAAAACCATTCAAAACGTATGGGCAATATTTAAGTTTTTGTGGAGAAACATGAAAACAGACAAACGGACAGCTAGACAGACGGACAGGACAAAAACAAATTCATTTATTAGATCTAACAATATACATTGATTTTTCATTTTTATTTGAAATTCAGCCATTGAATTAGTCGGCCCATCAGAGAGACTATTCACAGCTAACCTCTCCAAGGCGCTTTACTGTCTGGGTGAGTTCCTGCTGATATTACTTGCGTACTTTGAGAGAGATTGGGTCTACCTGACTCTATGGCTTGCCATACCGACTGTACCTCCGCTAATATATTGGCTGTAAGTATCTATTTACTTTTTTTGTTTTCTTTGGGTTAAAAATGAAATATATGGAGATAACGAACAGTATTCAAACTCAGAAGTCCAATAACAATATAAACTTTGGAGCACAGCAAACATGGACCTCCAAAACATCAGAGGTGGGATTAGCTAAGTGCCATGGAGGAGTGAGCATCCTCTTTGCTCCTTGTCATGATTGGGAATTATAAATACTTTCAATAAGCGGGAAGTTATAACAAAACATATCAATATTTGATGCTTAAATATAAATGTTTATCATTTCTATCAAAAATAAAAGCCCTTTAAAATTGAAAATGATGGGAAACGAATGTAGTGTACAAGTGAAATGAAACATTTTTTGAGAATAATGCTCAAATTATTTTGTATCCCGTAACACATGTGACTTATTCTGAAAGGAGAATTTGAAATCTAAATAATGCCTATTTATCACACAGTACATGTTACTGCATTTACTATAATGCACAATTGCATTCAGGGTATTAATTGAAAGCTGGTTTTATTAAATGTAGACCTGGTTTGATTCCTGAGTCCCCTCGGTGGTTGACCTCCCGGGGGAAAACGGAAGAAGCTACCAAGATTTTACAGAAAATTGCAAAAGTTAACAAAGTGGAGAAGAAATTCGATGCTGACAAAATTAAAAGAGAGGAAGACCAAGGAATAAAAGTTATTCTGAAGGAGCTGTTACACTCCCGGATTCTTATGACAAGGCTTTTTATAGTGATTGCTAACTGGTAATACTTTACACAAGCGAACGGATCTTGATACCAATTTAAATTGAAGAATTGTTAATTTTTGTAGAAAACAATATGTCTCTGTATCTATTTTTTTGCCATATCATATCCACGCTTTAAATTCTATAATTTTTTGTATTTCAAAGGTTTGTAGCTGCCTTTATCTACTATGGTCTGACGATGAATGTTGGTTCCCTTGGCGGGAATTTGTATGAAAACTTTTCGCTCCTTGTTGTCGTTGAATTGATAGGATATTGTGTCATCTTCTTTATGAACAAGACAGGGCGGAAACCATTGCATCTCTTGGCCATATTTGGATGTGGTATTGCATCGGTTGGATCAATTCTTCTCATTCTTTTTGCAGAAAATAGTAAGACTTCATTACAGTTGGAATTGATTTTAACAAAATGTTTGTCATCCGACAATTTAATCAATATTAATCGATATTGAAATGTATTTTGTTTCAAAAAACAATAAAAAAAAAATATATACAAAAATCAATAAAATATATATACTAAAGAGTTGAGAAGAACATATCTTCATTTCAATTACAAAATAGAAAAAAAAATATTTTTAAATATTTCAAATGATTATTTTAATTCATGAACTTGATTAAATATCAATGCCTTATATGAAAGAAATAGTAGATTGAATTTTTCTCTTTATTTAAGCTCTGTACTGGCTACATATCGCCGTGTCCTTGATTTCTCGGTTTGGTATATCTGTCCTGTTCGCAGTCCTGTACGTGTACACAGGGGAATTATTTCCCACTGTCATAAGAAGTATCGTCATGGGAACCGTCAGTATAGGGGCCAGAATAGGGGCCCTCATCTCTCCTTACCTGTACGATGTCGTAGGTATCAAATTATTTGTTTTGTGTGTTTGTATGTTCAACTTGCTTTACGTCCCTCTCGAAAATGTTTCATTCATAAATTGTATGGAGACGCAACCATTCGCCGGTGGAAAGCTGCAAATATTGTCCTATACTCAGCACTTATGGTTATTGAGCGTCGAGGGATCTATTTCGAGCAAGCACCTACTGGGACATGGGACCTCGGTATATACGGTCCCATTCTAAGGACCTGTCTCCAAGTCCCACAGTGGGATTCGAACCCGCGACGTAAGGATCAATTTCTTACTCAGCGACTTCAAACCCCTTGAATAACATATTAAGTATCTACTCACTCAAGTTAGCTATACATTTGATATTCCAAGTCCTCGGAACATCAAATTTTGATTAGATTGCAAATTACCTGCATTTCTTTACAGTTATAAACTAGAGGTACTGTGAGCAGTGAGCTCACAAAATTATACCCCGACTAAAATGTTAAAATAGGAGGTGTGCAACGACACTAAGTAATAAAGTAATAAAGAATATATGAAAGTTTCACATAATTTTATTCAATGGTATAGGAGGAATTGCGATTAAGAGATGGACACCCTTCAGTATTACAGAAAGAACGACCGTGTCCTTGTGTTGCAATGGGAAACCCATAATATGTGCCCCACTATAAAGTTAAAATAGGGGGTGCATTATGGCACTAGGTAACAAAGAATTTGTGAAAGTTCAGTAAAATTCATTCAGTAAGGGGAGTTGTAGATAAGAGATGGATAATCCAAAGCGTAATGGACAAATAGACGGACGGACATACCGATCATCATTGACGTATCTATTTGAGTGAAAAAATCTCGAATGGGACATAAAAAAAACCTGCAACCAATCAGTTAGCATTCCACTTATTCTATACGACTTAAGATAAAAATTGACGTTTAACTTTTGTAGAAGTCAAATTACACGTTTGAGGTTGTAGTGAATTTCACTTATTTGATGGACCCAAGTGGTTTTTAGCAATGCTCAGTTTCTTAATACTTTATTTGTGGAATTCCACAGTTAACGTTAACTGATTTTTTTTCTTCTTCTACATGTTATAATTGAAAAAAAAATGGATACGAGTTAAGAATATTTTTTTTCAAAAAAGCGAAAACGGAGAGAGAGAGAGAGAGAGAGAGAGAGAATCAGTTCCAAATCAACTATTTATTAATTTAAACATGAAGAACAGTTTCATTTTTTTTTATTGAACTGGTTTTATCATTTTTAGACAGATGGTAAAATTGGTAAAATGTTACCACTTATCACTTACGCTGTCATTACCATCGTTGTTGGGTTGTCGTCCATTCGATTACCCGAAACAAACAATAGAAAATTAATTGAGACTGTCGAAGAGGTCCAAGTGAAGTAAGTTAAGTTTTTTCTCTCCTTATTTTACTTTATTGAACTTTTATTTTACTTTTAAATAAATGAAATAGTTCAGAAAGTATCTTATCGAGGTATATGATCCATACATTTGTTAACTCTTTTATATTTCAGTATGAAGAAAGTCAAAAGCGAATTCACTGAAGAGGAGTCCCCAGATACATTACCTCTTAATTGGAATCCATCGCCTTAAATTACAGAATAATTATAGCAATTTGATAAAACAAAACGCAAAGGATTTTATGAGAAGCATCGAAATGAAAGTTTAAAATACGGTCAGTTGTATTTGTAGTTGTATATATTGTTTGCAATGGCTTGTTTTATGATAAGAATAAATTATATACAGATATCTACTTTTATATTCAGAAATGGGACATTGCTTTTTATTTTGAAATTTTATTCAATTTTTGAATATACTCTGTATGAAAGAAAATCTTTATGAAGAACTAACAATGGTGAACAAAGAAAAAACATAATCATTCTGTAACACTTATAAACAAGTGTGCAAATAAAAAATATTATGTAAAATGTAGATTCATTCTTTACGTTTAACCATTCAATCTTCAAGATTGATAAATTTTAATTATTTAGTTTCAATACCTTTTGCGTTTAACCGCAATAATATTTTTGCGATTAAATGCAAAATTTTTGCAATTAAATGCATTTTAATCAAACTTCACAAATTTCAGTCTTGGTGTAACTATATTAATTAAAGAAATTGACTATACCATAAAAAAATCATGAGTTGTCTCTCTTTGTAAACTAATTATCTTTTGCAATGAATGCTCCCTTAGATTCCTGACCCTGAATATAAGGTTAAGAGGTGTGTTCCTTTTTTTCAGACGCTTAGTATATCTCTTTTCCGATCTTCCTTGCTAACGGTTAATTATGTGTGTATTATTTAAATAACCTATAAAATTACAATCTGACAACAATTTTACCCTCATATCTAAAAATAAGTTCTCCTTTTAATATCTCAAATCAATATCTGTTATGCAACGTGCAAAGTACAACTTATTATAATTGTAGATAAAATTATGAATATTTATATATTAAATATAATTGTATCCAGTATATTAATGCAAACTTAAATTATGAACATCATGTACTTGCATTGTTTTATGAAAATATTTGACATAGATGTATTTGACTCTGTCATCAGAAAAAAAAGCTTTTGAGAAGGTCATATTGTGGAGGACACGAAGTGTACTTAAATGTTTTATAGCATTTACTTATATAATAGATAAATATTAACGTGAAACTCGGCTTAAATAACTGATCGAAAATATTTTAAATACCGGTATCTTTTTTTTTCCAATGCATAAACATATTGCAACAAAAGTATAACAGATTCACTTGCTCCCTCATTTAGGAAAAGACCCCCAATTTTAATACTATGGAATCATTTTAATTCATGTGGGTTATTTCTTCGTTGGTAAGTGGAATTGACCTGTTCATGGGGATGTAATTTCTTGGGTTACTCGTAAATACGATGGCTACATGAATCAAAATGCTAAGAAGATAAACGTTCGTGGGGATGAAAATTCGTAGGTAAGGGTGACCCACGAAATCCACGAACATTGGTTCCCCACGAACAATGTTGATTCTTCAATATCAAATCACTGAGCCTGACTTGAAAAGAAATTCTGTATTGCATTTTTCGTATTTGAAATTAAAAATTTTAAGGTTCATAATTAAACGAGAGTACAGTGGTGCTTGCTGAATGATCGTTGGGTCAGAGTTTGGCTTTTTTGATGCAATGTTGGTTTAAGAATAAATGTTGACAAGGACAATAACTTCTCATGTGTCTTCATCCAGTCATTTACGTCATTGTACTTCTAATGTAAAATAGTTTCCTTGATATTCACAATTCAAAAGTATCTTATCAGTAGTAGGTATTTCGGAACTTTCAGCTTCAGAATTATTCATTTGATCCAGTTTTTAGATAATTTTTATAATACTCTTTACAAATTATGTTCGATTTTTATGTTGACATATACTTTTTGTTTTTTATGTTCCATCTTGAATAAAAGGGCAACCTATACGCTTTTGCAATAAATGGTAAATTTAAACTATATTACATGAAAATAATGCAGTTTTTGTACTTTGAACCATTAAAATTGTGAGAGTGGAAAGACCTTTAATCAAATGTATATGTGAACCTCAACATTTTTTATTCAAACCAGATGATGAAAACAGACCCCAATATCGGATTCGTTAGGTAAAATCCGTTCTTTAAAGATAACAGACAGTTATAAGGCTAAAAATGTTCACTGAAACATGCTTACTGTGTGCAAAGCAAGATATTCTCAGAGATAGGTTAAAATGAAAGCAAGAGGTCTTTGACATCAGACCTTAAAAACCAAGGTTCCATGTGAAATTAAGCCTTGGTACGATAAATATCCTTCAATGGCCCTGAGTGCGGAATATGTCCTTGACTGGCTTAATGTGACGTCTCTAAATGATGGAAATTTTAATATCTGACCTGCTTATTCTCTAGACAGTTGATTTCACGTGTTCCTTTTTTTTTATTTTTAGAGGCAAAGTTTTTATAATTATCATTTATTTCACATATATATGAACTGATGACACTGTACTTTAAAACTGTATGCATTAAGGTAACCACAAAATGAAATTTAAATGCCATTAAGCGATTGCGGGACAAAACGAAAACCAAATATGCTTCCGTATTGAGTAGTTCAGAAGTGAAAAAAGAATTAGATAGATTACATGGTCAGTATGCACTGGTCCCTGCTAACAACATTGTCAATGTTGGTAAGGCTCATTATTTAAATTGTATTTTAGAGAAACTGGGACTTAATGGTACCAATGATGATATAATTTATACCCATAGCTCCCTTTCTATTAAGAAAGTTGTTCAAAATCATATGTCAGTTAATTTTTGAATAATTTTAAATATTCCCTACAACTAACATGAATTTGAATTGATATTTACAATATCTATATTGGATTCCAACACTTCATAAAAAATCTTACAAGCAAAGAAACAAAGCAGGTTCTAGGAAATGTTTCTTTACTCCTCACTAAAAAATAGTATTAGAGAGAAATTTGAAGAGTACTGTGCAACAACATATTTGAGAAGTGTGTGAATCAGAAGTAGATACTCAAAAATTTAAAGAGAGTTTTTGGATAATTTCAAATCACAAAATTATACCAAAATCACAACATAATACTTACGACGTTTCAACTTTATTTTCAACCAATCGCCACAATCAATTTAATTTAAGGCATTTTGATCTCATTTAAAGCTGTTTTTCCAACAAAAATGGAACTCGTTAATTTAATTACCTTGTCATTGGTCATTGGAAAAATTGTTTTGTTAAAAACATTCTGATTGTACACTCAAGTACTCTGAAGTTGACTTAAAAAGATACTCGACTTTCTGATTGACAATGTCGATGTGCATTTTGAAGACCAAGTCTTCCAACAATCTATTGGAATTCCCTTGGGTAACAATATTAGCAGACTTATTTTTGTATTCATATGAAGCAGCTTTTGTCCAAAATCTTATACATGAAAAGAAAAATAAACACTTGCCGTGGCCTTCAACTCTCAATTCAACATTTAGATATAGCGACGATGTGACGTATTGTCAATTAACAATGGTAATTTCCATTCTTATGTCGATACTATATATCCCAGTGAGCTTGAGAAAAAAGATACCACATAATCTGACAAATCTATTTCATATTTGGATATTTTACTTGAAAAAGACGTTAATGACAATCTAACAACCAAGCTCTATGATAAAAGTGATGGCTTTAACTTATCGTCAACTTCCATTACTTATGCAGCAATATACATTCATCACCTGCATAGGGCGTTTTAATAATGCAAATAATAGATCACAAATACTGATTCTTCCACTCTACAAATTCCCACTTCCAACGTCTCGCGCGTTTTCAAGTTTGCGCCTATTCATAGTTTCGGATTTCTGTTTAAAAAAAAAATTTATCTGAATAATTTTTCACTGATACAATTTTTTATACATTAATGAACAGAATATTCTGAGCTGTGAAGACGCATTGGAGAATTAAAACTACAACGAAGTGGATTATGTCATAGAGTCTGTGCTCGATCATTTACGCACGAAGCAAGGGAAACTTTTGACATTTTAACTGCACCAAAATTGAAATGTATATGAAAATTCATGAACATTCATAATACTTGAATACATTTTTTCTGTCTTTAAAATGAAAATTACCAATATTCATATATATTCATCATTTGTTCATGAACTACATTTTATGAATATATTCATGAATAAAGTTCATGAACCATCTTTATGAACCGGTCATGAACCAGTCATGAACACATCATGAATGTTCATGAACGATTCATAAAAGTTCCTGAAATTATGAATTTCACCTCGCAGGGGTATTGTCGATACAATAACATTGTAAGCAACACAATTTATCTTTACGGAGGTCGTTATCAAAAGTATTGAGAATGTTTTTCAAGTATATTTTAAGAATGTACACACATAACTTAATTTAAATCAAAACAGAGAATGGGATCAATGCTCTTCTTTTGGCAGTACTGAGCATAATTTAATATAACTTTTTGCACTGATAATACGTCAAACACATCAATCAATTTTTCAAACTTTTCCTCATATTTTTATCCAAGTGAATTATGGGAACAAATGCCGTCTTTTCATCATGAATGATCACATCAAAATTTGTGACGACAACAACAAAGAATTTCAAATTATTTCGAATAGTCAATTATTTGACATTTCTGCAATCAATAAATGTCCAAAATCTGGCATTAAAAATTTAACACAATTAAACAATTCTTGTTTAATGATAAAATCATTTGAAAGTAATGACGTTTTTCTTGAATTAAAGCATGTTAATGCTTATAAATTACCAATATAGTGTTAATATAAAACTTAGATTAGGCTACTTTTCCCCCAGGACTTTTTTAATATATTTGCTAAATTTTTTCTCAAATATTGTGATATAAGTCATGACTGTTAACGTACAAGGAATCCGAAATTAACAGAACTTCTATACTTCAAAAAAGAAAAAAATGACCCTTTTCTTCTTTTTTAAATAAAAAAACTTTCCATTACAAAATATAGTTCCTTGCTTAATGTTTTCGCTATGGAATTAATCATAGGGTTTTCATTGAATATAGACTTAATGAATTGATGGGCTTTATAAAATCCTAATTTTTTGTAAGAATTAAATACATTTTTGTAGATTTTTTAAAATGCTGTTCAAGACAAAAAATTTACGCAAAAGTTGAAATGCAAACCTCTTTCCGTCCAATGCTGACGGCAAGTGTTTTAATACTAATTGTTAGAACAATATTTACGCACTGAATTGTCGACGGATTTTCCCTTTATTTTCCGATCATGACAAGGAGCACACAGAGAGTGTAACCGGCCGGCAGGGGATGTTCGCTCCTCCATGCACCTGACCCCATCTCTGATTTCTTACAGATCCTTGATAGCTCCTCCTCAAATTTGTATTGTTTAAAGGACTTTTGAGCTTAAACAT